GTTATGAACGGTTTATCTCTAAATATTAATAAGTGCAAAGTTGTTACTCTCAGTCGGAAATTTAAACCGTAGGTATATATTTGATTACAGTGTTAATTCTACTATACTTACTAGAGCAGATCTCATTAAAGATTTGGGTGTTTACTTTGACAGTGAATTCACAATTAACCAACATACCAACAATATTTGTAAATCTGCTACTTCAACGCTACGTTTTATTCTACGGAGCTGTAAATCTTTTTCAAATATTGAAGCACTAAAATGCCTGTACTTTTCGTTAGTTCGCACAAAGTTGGAAAAATGTGCTGTCATTTGGAGCCCGTTGCATTGTATTCAAAAAAAGTTACTTCAGCGTACATTTTTAAAGTTTTGAGGATATAGACTGGACCGTAACTATCCTCCAAGAGGATTTGATCAGAGTTCATTATGCGCCAGATTCAACTTTTCATCACTAAAGGTTCGACGAAATCAATCTACTGCCACTTTTTTATATAAACTTCTAGGTACACAATTTGTTGACTGTCCCGATTTTCTATCCTTGTTATGTTTTCAGGTTCCATCTTACACCAGAAACTCTACAACATTTTACACTCCCGCTGCTCGCACAGATCTTTTGCGCAACTTTCCTTTGTTTAATATGGTTAGGCTTTTTAATAATTTATGTTTTCTCGGCGACATCCATTTTCAAAGACTCGTTGACATTATAAATATAATGAACAATCTTTAGTTTTTTTTGAAAATGAAGGTTTCAGGACCATTTTGGGTAAAAGATATTCGTTGTTTTTACATTAATGATTAATGAATGTTTATGTTCAAGTACTTAATAAGTAAAGTAGGTACATATACTTACATACCTACCTACTAACCTACAGCTTCTTTTTCACCAAAATATACGCATGCATTTGTTATTTAGGTGTTGAAACAAAAGAGAACACTAAGTATTTGCATAATATTTTGTATTATACTATGGTACCTATTTGGTTCCTGAAATTCAAAAATATTCATAAACCAATGGTATCTCATTTTTCTCCCATTGTTTTTCTATCGATATCCAAAGTAGGCGTTTGCGCTCGTATTTGACAACGCAAACGTCATCTTTTTCGAGGAATGTCACCTTGTAAGCGACAAAATGAAAAAAACGCGCTCTCTCCCAACCCAATTGTAAACTATAAATCCAGGGCCGGTGAAAGGCTATTTGGCGCCCTAGGCGAGATGTTCTCAGCGCGCCCTTCCTCAGGTTATTCCTAGGTACAGTGCCGTAACTAGGCATTTTTCGAAGCGGTGCCGGATCAGGTTTTGGCGCCTTATCACTTACCATTGAGCTCTAATTAATAAAACACCGTACATTTTTGAGAGAAACTTTACACGAAATTTTAAAAGCACTGCGCTACTTAAATTTTAGAAAAATGCTTTGAATAATGAAGTCTTTCACTCAATGAAGAATAGAAATACATTTATTTATATTGTTTCCAATTCTCGCGTCAAATTTAGCTATGACATAGGGTACAAGTCGTAGAAATGATTGCGTCTTAGAATAAGGGTGCAAATGCTGGTCACACTAATACAGCGACTATTATATAGATCACAAATAAAGTATTATTATTATTAGCTTAAATTTGCAGCCTTTTCCTACCGCTGTAACTTTGTTCTACAAGGGCCATTCAGAAAGTAGCAGACGGTTTGGAATAAAAAGTTAAGAAGGTGTAAGAAACAACTTTTATTATACTTATACATTTGGAAGCCACACTCTTAGGCTATTTTTCAACATAGTCGCCATTCCTATTGAGGCGCTTATCATAGTGTGGTACAAGTGTTTTGATTCAAACTTTGTATACCTCCGCCGTCTGTGGGAGTGTCAGAAGTGGGTACCGACAAAGGGAATGTGGTAGCCCCCTGACAAGATCTTATTGATTGTGGAGTCAAAACTGGCTAATAAAAGTACTGATCTGCCACACAAAAATGCGCTGAAATCCCTTGGATGTTCCGTGCATTCTAAAGGACCGTAAATTTAGTTTTAATTATATTTCACTGCACCCTGTATTCGTCTTTAGCAAACTATTAGAATTTAACCGCCGTTCTTGTCTTTTATGACTGGCCTATACGGTACACCGCGATGCCCATTCCGACTTAGTGCCCTCGGTGCTTCAACGCCTCCGGCGCGCCCTCCCTATGCAGAGCGCGCTGCCGCGGCACCTTTGGCACCTACCTAGTTACGCCACTGCCTAGGTACCAGTCCCAGGCAAAAAATAGAAAGTGGCGCTGGCGTTCATAAATACTTTATTGTGCTTTCGCTGAAAGATGTTGCTTAATTTTGGCGCCCTCTGAAGCTTGGCGCCCCAGGCAGCCGCCTATGTTCGCCTTGTGGTTTAACCGGCCCTGTATAAATCAAATATGCATTGCTTAGCCTTAGTATCCAATGACAACCAATAAATGACATCTTTCATTTGAGTTGGAAATATGTGAACTGCTCGATTGTAGAAAAAATCTTGTGTGTAATTCGAGCGCAAATTGATTGTCGATTTCAAGAGATTGCCGCGCTCCTTCTCTGTCAATCGACGATACTGTCAAGTCCGTCTATAACGAACCCATTTATAGCGAACTCCCGGCTATAACAAATTTTTTTGAGGAATTGTACTTTGGACCTACGCTTACAATGCATTTTCTTTCCTTTATAGCGAACATCCGCTTAAAACGAACTATTTCTTTATCGCTAACAGGTAAATAGTCCGCCTATAACTGCATAAAATAGGTGGCCGCTGAGTCTATCTAAACCGCTGTGTGAGTCATTACTCTTACCCACCAATAAAACCCCGGGGCTAGCAATCGCACTGCCTTGTATACAAAAAAATGCAAAACGGCACAAAGTAAAGCGAGGTCCGTCTACAAATAGGGTTAACTAAATCAAGAGTCACTACAATTTGAAAAGAAAGGGTTAAAATACTAGATGTTTATGAACGTGATAATTGTGCTGCTAACAAGTTAAAGAAGGCTCATCATGAAGAGTTAGATCGACGTTTGGGTTTGACCTGAACAGTCAAGTGGTTTGGGAAGTATGATACATAATAAAAAATTCAAGTGCAGTCATAGCTGGATTGAATGTTTCAAAAAACGGCATGGTATGTGCAGTGGAAAAATTGTGGAGGGGTCAGTTTCAGTCAATATGGAAACCGTGTATATAAATGAAGTGGCGGAAAATTAGGAAAAATTACCTGTCGTGCAATGTAAACTTACAGATGTTTTTAAGCAAGGGGTCTACTTAAGTATTAAGTGTTGTTCATGTTTTAATAAAATAAATCGAATGTACTTACGTTTTTTCTTATATTGCGGACCTCGGATATAGCGAACTGTTTTTAAGGACAACATACCTAACTTCCAGTAGGCCAACATTTGGGACATTTGGTATAGAAATATTTAAAATTTTTATTGAAAATACATAACTTAATTCGGATTTTTGAAAAATGTGTCCACAGGATGAATAAATTCACTAGCACTTATTTTGTTCATAACTTGTACTCCGAGAGGTAATTTTGTATAGTTTCTCAAAGTTGGGGCTTATCCTTAACTGGCCAATGTTTGGGACGTTTACCTTATAATTATTACTATTTTTCAAACATAACTTTGACTTCCAAAGATAGAAAAAATATTGACAATGGTTCCAGTAAACCTGCACCCATTACGTAACATGCTAACAAATTTTACTAACTTTTTATCACAGATCAGATTTAATGAACTCCTAGAGGCGTTATTACCCAAAAACATGCCGTAGTACTACCGTAAAATCCCACAACTTCGGACAGTTTTGTAACAATTGGATTGCTGTAAGGCGGCCTTTTTGTCCGTTTCGTTTCTGCGCCAGAATAGGCAGGCATGAAGCGACAAGATGAATCACTAAAGCATACCTTTTTATTATACCATGAGCATATCCATAAATAATTACAAAACGTAAAAAAATTATTAATTGCTGTCCGAACTGAACAACAAAAATCGCTAACTTCAGACACAGATTTATACATATTTCCTTACGCATTTGGACACTTCTATGACTCTCATAGTAATTTAATTTCGGACATTAAGGGATAAAAAAAATTAATCTTCCAACAAAATAGTGTAGATAATAAAAAACAACAAATAAAGAAATAAAAATAAAATAAAGATTTATTTTTTACAAAAGAAATAAAAACAAAATAAAGATGTATATTTTACAACTTTTTTGGCACTCCGTATTTTTCGGCGGCCTCCCGTACCGATAACTCACCCTGTGCGACGCACTCCATCGTCCGTTCTAAACGATCATCGTCGTAGTTATAGTACCGCCCTCTCCTTCGTTTTTATGTTTGCGTTTGTCTGCAAATAATTTAAAATATCGCATTACTGATTGTCCAAACGCAATATTTCTATTTCCCGCCAATGGGACATTAATCATGCACAATAATATTACAAAAATTTTAGGGCATATTTGCAACTGTTTAAGTTACTATTAATAAACATTTAATTCAAACAAATATAAAAATTGTCTTACTTACCACAAGTATTTCACCTAACAAACACGAACTATTTTTAACATGAAATTGGACAAGTGTGTACCATTCATGTCGAGATTCATGTGTATAACGAATGAACTATCGTTCATGAAATCCATGTCTGGGAAGGGTACTGCAATCTATATATAGTACAAAAAAGTATCCTAGGTGACACCATGTACTTTATAAACGTACAAATAATTTGTGACCATTTTGTCCGAAGTTATGAGATTTTACGGTACACTTGATTTGCACATAGGTAACGCCAACCGAGTACCTAGAAGTTATACACTAGGTGTTGGCTACCTAGAAATTATACAGTAGGTAAAGGAACCGGGACCTAAAAAGACAAGACCTATTTGGTACGCCACTGAGCCCATACTGGTTCCCCTTGCAAACTCTACATTGTTCATCTGCACAATGCCCACTTTCACTTTCTTAGCTGTCGTCACTAATATGATAAACATGTAAAGTACAATACAAGATTAAAAAGTGATTTAATGCTACATTGTTAACTTTACACAATAAACAATATTTAGAATTACACACTGGTCAATAAATGTAGGTTACTTTACAGAGGTACTCAAATATACAATAATTAAATATAGCTATGTTTAATCTAATATCTTCAATAAATTATGCAACGCATGAATAGAATTCGTAAACGTTCTTGGTCGATTAGGGTAATCTAAACCCCAGTCAGGTACAAGTGAAGGTTTATAAAATTTAGCAGATACGTGAAACAGGGATGGTATCTTGTGACTTTTGAGAGACACCATTTTCTGTTTTCTTAAGCAGAGAGATTCAATTTTCGCAATTATCTGCTTAAATTTCGGCAGCAACTGGATATAATTTTTATACTCGTTGTTATGAGCGAACAACCAAATTAAAGTGCAAAGGTAAGGAAATAGCTTATCTTCTTTATCACAACAGTGAGTCAATGCACTAAAAACGGCAGCCATGTATGACGGTTTCCACGCCAAATTGGTTGTCTCTGAATATTTACAGAAATTTATTAAGATACTGGTGGCCGTAGTACAGACTTCCATTTCTCCTGGAGATCGATTTGTAGTAGTAATTGTAATGTATAAGTATTCTGGTAATTCACGACTCATGGCCAATAATGTATTTTTACAACGACGAGTAATAAAATCTGAAAATAAACAATCAAATTAGGTCACATAACACATATAAAATGCACAGAAATTGTGGCTTCAATCGCCATACTCATGCATCCACACTCTCAGAATGGTGTGTGAATTTTTGTTTCCAAACTACAGGAAAATATGTGGCATCCATAAACAATTGGTAATCTCTCTCTGTGTATAGCAATAAAAAGTAGTGAAGTAGAAGTAAATCTCTTAGAGCACTAAACTAAGTTTCTTCTACAACACTTAACCTACAACTAGCAAGATTGACTGTCTTGCAATAATAGGATCAAATACAATATTCACCAAACCAAAAAAAAAACAGGATCAACATCCACCACCAAAAAAAAGACTTGAATGTCAGTCTCTTAATTAAAAACATTCTTCCCTCTCTGTTTCCGTCTCTCCTCTACTTGACTTTGCGTCTTTGAAATTAAACATCTGTGTTTTTTATCGGCGAAACCTGCTTTTCTTCAAACTAATTAGCTTACGTAGCAATAACAAATTTCTTATCGCAACGATCGGATTTAAATGAGATAAAGGCGGTTCTCACACTGAGGCGATAAGCAATAAGCAATATTATCGCTGTACCAATTCTACATTGAATTAAATTTGAGCTTTCACATTGGAGTAACTAGCTACTGTTGATAAGCAATACGCAACATCATTTTGACATTATCTGTCACCGAAACAAATATTGATAGACTATGCAATATTTATGACTTTTCAACGGCCACTGCGTAGCGCCAGAAAGTTGCCGCAACTAGCAACACCTTCCGTTCGATTGAAATCGTTGTTGCTCGTGAGACTTGTAGAATAGTTTCAACCGATAATATTGCGTGTTGCGTATTGCCAGTGGCTCATTGCTTATCGCCTCAGTGTGAGAGCTGCTTAAAAAACACACTATTTCCAAATGTTTATTATCCCTCTAAATGAACAATAAAATAAAATCAAAATACGGCGTGATTAAACAAAATTAAGCAACAAATAAATCTAACACAAAACACATTGACCTCAAATTCAAATATACCATGATCGAAATTGTGTTCAATTGTTAAATAAAATTGAAATACATACATACAGAGTAACCCATCATTATTAACGAGCGATAAAAAGCTATTTTATGATTTTGGACTTTCTGTCCGTTCGTCCGTCCGTCTGTGGACACGATAACTTACTAACGGTTTCGAATTAATTGATTAAATTTTGGTTAATATTCGTCAACCGAAAGTGACTTTGACGCTCGTTGTGTATAACACACACATATAGAAATTACTAAGGAATTAAAGGAAACACCATTTCAACTATTGATGAGCACGTAGTAAGTTGACCGCAAAAATAGAAAATTTGAAAATTGTCATTATGTGGAGACTAAAATTATCATTAGTTAGGGACTATGATCCTATTATTATATCACTATATGTCGTACTTCATTACCAAAACAAGGACTCAAGAGAGAGATTACAAGTAAGGAATAGACACCTAGGCTTGAGACTTAAGACACCTACCAAAATCATCAAGTGCTCTTGAAATATGAAGCAATGTTGTGTGATCTGTCAAGATCTGTATGGCACGTTCTCTGCGTTGGCTTAAGGTATCTTCAGATAAAGCATTAGACGTCACTTTTTTAATCTTTCTTCTAATATCCGCAACTTCCGGGCGATTCTTTCGGACAACATGTCCCCTCCAACACGCCTAAAAAGTATATTACAGCGCACAACACCAGAATACCACGCTTACCTGAATTAAAACCACAGCTTTCAGCTGTCTTCTTTTTAGTGTTATTAAATCTCTATTCACTTCCAGGAATAACCGCCACCTACGTTGAATCATAATAGCGGCATTTCTTGTTTCCATAAACCGCGCACGCTCCACCTTCGCAATCTGTGTTCTCCTAAAGCCCCGCTGAATTGTAACGGCCGCTTTTGTCATATTGAGAAGACGTTCGCGCTGGCGTTTTATTTCTCGATTGGCTCTGAATCGTCTTTGAATGCGTATAATGATATTCCTATACCTGTGATACTTTGAATATTGCAACTGTTTGGCCTTATTTGCTCTGAACTTGGTTTGAATCATAATAGCAGCTTTCTTTAACGTTACGTATCTCCCCGAATCCCTCTTCATCACTCTATTGGCTCGGAAAATCCGTTGAATAAACACAACTTTCGATCGCAAAATTATATACTTTTCACGTTCCACTCGCATCGCTTGCGTGGCGCGGTAAACAGTTTGGCATACCATAGCAGCATTTCGCAGCATGGTAAAGGTATCACGTTCTCTTCTCATTAGGAGAGTTGCTTTTAATTTTCTTTGAATACAAATGGTGGCCCCTTTCAAATTTGTGTACTCTTCGTGAACAATTCTCATTAACCTGTTTGCTCGAAATCTTCTTTGTATAGATATTGTCGCATTCTTCAATTCGGCATAGCGACTCATCTCTTGCTTCCTTAAACGATTCGCCCTAAATTGTATCTGAATGCAAATTGTTGTATTCTTTAATGTATTAAACTCATCCCTCAGTTTTTGTGCTCTATACTTGCTCTGGACGAAAGTTGCACATTTCTTTAACGTCAGATAGTGTTTGCGTTCCTCTCGCATGGCTTTCCAAGCACGAAACTGTTGCTGGATTTTTACAACGCTCATTTTCAAATTTTGATATTTCGAATAGTCAATTTTCATAAGTAGATGAGCCCGAAATGCTCTTTGTATAACCAATACTGCTTTTCTCTCAATGTGAAACTCTAACATACCCTTCTTCATTAATACTCGTCCACGATATCGTCTCTGAATAACAACAGCCGCTCTCTGTAATTCTCTAAATCTTTCTTGCTGTACTTTCATCAACAGTCTTGCTCTAAAATGTGTTTGTACAGTGATCACAGCATTCCTATACCTGAGATATGATCTCCTTTCGATTTGCCCTCTATAAACTGCTTGGCACATAACTACAGTTTTTTTTAGTTGTAGGTATTTGAGGCGATCCTCCCTCATGGCGCGATTGGCCCGAAAACGTAATTGCACCCGTAGTACAGCTAGTTTTAAGTTGCTAAACTGTAAACTGTATAATTCCGTCAATTTATTAGCTTTATACCTTCTTTGGATTGAAATGACTGCTTTTTTTAGCAGAACATATTTTTGTTTCTCAACTTTCATTAACTGGACTGCTCTAAAATGCCTCTGTATACAAATAGTAGCATTTTTTAAACTTTCATATCTTTTTTGTTCAATTTTCATACTTCTATGTGCTCTGAAACGATTCTGTATGAGTGATGTGGATGCTATTAAACTCAAAAATTTAGCACGACACAACTTCATTTGTTTGTTGCTGCGATAACGAGTCTGAATTATAATTGCAGCATTTCGCAACTTCGTGAAGTTGTCCTTTTCAATTCTCATTAGATTGGTAGCTCTACGTATCCGTTGCATTTTAATAACTGCCGCTCTCTGCCTGAGGAAGCTACTGCGATGGTATTTCATTAGCTTGTTGGCTATAAACCTTCTTTGAATATTAATAACCACACGCTGTAGAGTTACATATGATGTACGTTGTATTTTCATGTCTTTGTGCGCCCTAAAGTAAGTTTGAATGACTATTGCAGCGCGTTTCATTTTATTAAAGGCCGCGTAATCCTTTTTCATCGCACGGTTGGCTCTAAAACGTTTCTGGATGACTAAAGCTGCTTGTCTAACACGTTGATAACTTGAATACTCATTCTGCATCAATTTATTAGCTCTGAATCTCTGCTGAACAATTCTCACGACTTCCTTTAACTGACAGAATTTTGCACATTCCAATTTCATTAAGTGGTAGGCTCTGAATTTAGTCTGTATTACTATAGCACTGTACCTCAGCTTTTGATACTGACAGTATTGCTTCTTCATAGTTTGATATCCCCTAAAATACTTCTGGATTGTGATAACTGCAGTTCTAATTTTATCGTAATTCTGTTTTTCATGTTTCATTAAGATTAGGGCTCGAACATGAAGTTGCACTGTAATAACTGCAGATTTTAACAACAGAAATTCTTCTCTTTGGATCTTCATTAATTTGTTTGCTTTAAACCGTCTCTGAACATTAATTACCGCAACTTTTAGATTTAAAAAGTTGCTCCTCTGTTGCAGCATAACCACCTTTCCATGATACCTGGAACAGGACAGACAAAACTTTTTATGGTTATTATCATTTGTTGTTCATGCTAGTTTAAATCACTAAATACATCCTAATACATTTAGATGTAAGATGGTATTGAGATTATAATTCCCAAATTGTATTAATTTCAGATTGCAAATAAAATATTTATAGAGGCCTAAAGTCATGCAGCCGTTTTGTGGTATTTGTTATAGATAAAATTCAATACCTACTGTCAAAAGTCTGCAGAGTAAACATATCCAATTTATGTATTATTACCTATAAGAACAATTGATCAATTGTCAAGTAGTAAAATTTTGATCGCCCCCCCCCCCCCCAATTGTGTAAAATACGCCTCCTAAGTGAGGTGACTAAACTATTTACTTTGATAATAATTTCATTTTCTAACAATATCCGAACCGGGCTTGCGTATTGCCAATGTATTGTACAGCACAGAGCGGTCCATTTTCTGCAGTGCTCAATGCTTTGGCGATGGTATACCCAATAGGTAGTCTGCCAATCCATCGTTCGCTACAGATCACACTATAATGACGGTACTTAATGTATACAGTATTTTGTAGTGAATGCGAATGTATGTCTAAACTCCGTTTCGTTGTCGGCTCCAACCATATCTCTATCGTTCATTATGCATAATGTAAAACTTGTGTAGGAATTAAATCAAAAATATAGTGACCTATAAGATTTTTTTTATTTTTATGATTTTAGTGTTTTAGTGAATTTGTAACTTGATTTATTCCAGTTTTATTTTTATTTCAGTACATCAAATAATTTTAAAAAAACTGCTCGGAAACGACAATATTTAATTTTAATTTGTTTCATTTTTATTTATTCTAAGCTACAAATTTACTCTTTTAAAAATAAAATCTAATGTAATTTGGCGTTCATTTTGTGAAATATTTAAACTAATATTATGTTTGCGTTTAACGCGCTCCTTATTGGAAGGCCTTCCAGCTTGCACTCTACCACTTGATGGTAAACCTCTAGATTTACGGCGGGATAATGATGTTGGCTGAACTTTAATTTTTCGTTGTTTTCTTCCGCAAAGACGAGACTTTGTTTCCATAAAACTAATTAGCTGACTGAGCCCGCTAATAGAATGGCGTCACCTCGGGTGATTGCGGTACTGCAAAACATTGTGCATTTCAGAGTAATGTCATTATAATGTGATCTGTAGCGAGCAATGGGTTGGCAGACTACCTATTGCGTATACCATCGCCAAAGCATTGAGCACTCAAGCACTGCAGAAAATGGACCGCTCTGTGCTGTACAATACATTGGCAATACGCAACCTGGTGGTGACTTTGAAAAGTAGGTCCAAATAAAATTCAAAGATTGCGAGTCACGTGGCGGTGACCTTGGAGAGTAGGTCAAGGTTTATCCTCACGGACATTCGCTTTCAATGTCATCGGAGGTCAACATTTTGGTGTTGATGTCATAGGTATTTCAGTTTCAAGTTACCAAAGGTCAACGACCCCATTTCTCCTGTGCCACATTTTACTACCAAGGTCGTTAAAGGCCCCTTTTTACAATGTCATTGATTACATGTTTGTGTTAATGGCGCGATTGATCTTGAAAATAACAGTCAACGGCAGCCTTTTTTACTGTGGCACATTTTACTAGCAATGTCATATATTTTCTTTTCAAAGCCAGCAAAGGCTCATTTCTATCCATTTTCAAGGTTAATGTCTCCATTGTGATGATCATATTTCATTTTCAAGGTGGATAAAATTAGACTTTTTAAGTAAGTAACGCGATCAAAAATGAGTTGCTGTCGAGGCGCCTTTGGAAGTTCAAATTAAGTACGACTTCCCATGTAAACAAAAGTTCCAAAGGTGACTCGACAGCAACTCATTTTTGATCGCATAGTAGTTACAGAAGACAAATTCACAAGTTAATGCCCATCTTATCACATTAATCGAACACTCAAAATATGAAATTGAATATGGATGGACGTTCGAACATTAATATGCACCCTGAAGCATATCTGTGTGTCAATGAAAGTGGTTTCTCACAGAATATAGAATTATCCATCATATAAAAGTGTTCATCATACACACTGCGCAATTACCTATACCGGTGTGAACAACGTACACACCATAGGAATTTCAATAGTACTTTTTTCATTTCTGATTATTGGCTTCCATAATTATTTTAGAGACAATAGTTATTTACATAAAAGTCAGGAAAATGACACATTACTGGCGAGGAAATATTGAAGTGCGAGGTCCTTTGGGGCCAAGTACTTTAATTTCTTAGTCAAGTAAATTTTACTGACGAGTTTTGTATTAAATTTTACCCGAAATCGTATTTTAATATTAAATTTCCACTTGCATATAGAACTTTTGATTAATGTCAATCTGTCAGTGATGACAGGAGTCATTATAGACGTTTAGCAATGTCACAAATGCGGCCGGGAAAGTGACAGGTGCGGCCAGTAAAGTGACAAGCGGCAGGAAACGTAGTCTGCTCTGTCTCTGTCTCTGTGATCAAACAATAGTATATTAAAGTACAAGTGTCATTTGACGAAGATTGTCGCACGAGGTAGTTTGCCGCATAAGCCGCGTAGCGGCGAATGCGACAAAAGCCGAGTGCGACAAGTAGACAAATGACACGTGTGCTTTATAGTTTATACTATTTTTTCTATTTCGACTTTTAAATAATATATACAAATTATAAATATTGCCTTTAGGCGTTGTTAGGTAATTTTAAACCTCGTTTTAAACTATCATTCAGTGTATGTTGGTAATAGACACAGTTCATTTATTTTCACGTTGGCTAACCTGATTCCTGTATTTTCAAACTTCAAACTTTTAATTATTTGGTCATAATTCCATTTTGCGGCAGTTATGATGAATACGGATGACAAACACGTCTCTTGTACAATAAATTGTCATACCTTTGTTTATTTGAAATTTAGTAAAAAATTCCTCTCTCGTACTTTATTTACACGTTACAGGTTATGTTTAGTTTTGATTTGACGGATACCGATAACGGCAAAAAAGCGAGGGGTACCAATCCAACAAAATAAAAAAAATAATGCGTTTCTATTTCTTTCAGCATCATTTCTGTCTAGTACGGTTTCGGTATTGTTTCCACATCGAAATAGAAAAAAGTATAGTAAGTAAGAAACGTCAAACTAATGGCAAACGCAGGCGCTTTTGTTTGATTTCATAATTCCATTGCATTACTGACTTTATAAACGCGAAAGTTTTAAATTTTTACTGTTTCTGAATAAATATATAAAATAGGAAGCAATAGTATGTACGAATTCATAATTTTTTTCTCTACAAAAAACCTAAATAGACTTTATTTCTACAATAATTAGGGAAAGCAATAATCAAAAATTAAAAAATTACCGTTGAAATTTCTATGGTGCGTTCGTCAAGTCGCCACCCCATATGTATGTTAAGGTTGTAATCACTCTAAAAATGAGTACAGGACACACTAATTCTAAATGAAGGTTTATTTTTTTAGACCCCATAGTCTCAATTTTTAAAAGACCTTGTGCTCAAAAATATTTTTGGTGTCACCGCTTATGTTGGGTGAAATATTGTTTCTTTCAAATCTCCACCCAGGGGTAAAAACCAATAGAGGAAAAATCTAAAAAATTAATTGGTATACATACCTTTGCTGAATTGTTATAGCCGCAGATCGCATATTCAAAAAATTTCTTCTACAAATCCACATTCTAAAGTATGTTTGTATTTTTAAGACGCTTCCCCGTTTTATCTGTGCTCGCTTCCCTAGCAAGCAGCTACGAGTAAATCTTTGAAGGACCAAAACTGCTTTCTTCATTGCCAAGTAATGTTTCCGTTGAGCATACATTTTATAGAGTGCCTGTATCTTTAAAGCAGAATTATTACAAAGCCTTTCCAGTAAAATTTGTTTCACTACGGGGACCAACTGCTCTATCTTCCATGCCAGTGTAAGGCGTCTGTACCATGTTTGGATGCATATTGCAGCCGTGTCCAGACGATGTCTTCGTTTCTGTATTATTCGGCGTTTCACTACAATCTGTAAACTTCTCCACCATTTAATAATTGTATTCGCCGCTTTAACCATAACTGGAGCTTGAAACTTGTAAATGATTTGCCAAAGAAACGACAAGGTTTTTTCGTGATGGCCATCTACGATATCTTTCGGCGATATGTCCCCCAGTATTTCAAATCCTGCATCGGTTAGCGCATCAAATACACCCTTCATATTGTGAATTTTTTGTAATCGAGAAACGGCGGGCACTCTGAGCAAATCCGTTAAACCCGTTTTCAAAAGTATTAATTCCATGACGCGCGTCAAACGAACGCCATCTCGCAAATCCGCTCCCAAATGGTTAACACAGTAATCGAACTCGTGAATGTACTTCTGTTTGTGATTTAGAATGTATCCGTTTAATCGAAGCACTTTAGTAATGTCGCCTACTGACGATAGTAACTCGCGCGAGAATGTCAGGACCACTTCTCTACTTTCTTTTATCGGCGAGGTTTTGGAAAATAGGCACGGATCATGGGGAATCAAGGTAGTGGTTTTTGCGACATCCAGAAAGTAAACTAACGCGAAAAGTTTTTTCAGTATAAATTTCTGTATAGCCGCAACATATTTTGGGGAATGAGCAGATTTGAATTTCTGTAGTAGGAAGGAGCTTTTAAATAGGTTTTGCATGATATAATTATGCAAACCCATTACGTCAGAATTAGAAGATATGGGGATAATTGTGTTAAATAGTGTCTCTAATCCAATTCTTAGCCACAGAGGATTATAGTTCAACAAAACAAGCGTAATTTGGGATTGGAGGCCCAAATTTAAATGTATGTTCTTATCTTGTCTAATGCTCAACTTTTGATTTTCAATAATTTGATATGTGGTCGCAATGACTTTGCCTACTGCCTGACTACGGAATAACTCAGAAGCAGATTTTCTAAGTGCGTCTAAGCGATGATTTGTGTGATATGTACTTGAAACACTTTCCTTTGAAAGTGGTGTCGGTGCAGATTCCCCTTTTTGTTTAGACTCTTGCCAAATTTTAGCAACATTTACCTCTACATTTACATCTAATTCGCTAGGAGGCGCCAGTAATGCATTTAGCCAATTCTTAAAGATACCCTCTTGACGTTCCATCCATGCTTCATCTTGATAAACAGATTGGACCATATACGGATCAAAGTAGAAACCATCACTCTTAACTTTCACACGAGGCGGCTTCGATGTATTCCAATTTAAGTTATGTGGCTCATTGGATAGTTGACCGTTAATGTGCACTCTTTTCGCGGGAGAAATCTCAAAATTCAACTCAGACTTGCGCTTCAATGGTTTAGTAATGAGAGCGTCGTTTGTGATATAACCCGATACATTTTCACATCCCCACAGATTTGCTTCAATAATTGTACGAACGCCCATCCCAGACATGTTTTTTTGGTGTACGTTTGGAGTATCAAATGATATTGGAGAGAAATTAAATCCAGACGGAATATTATCATTTTCGTGCGACCCAAGCAAACTTTCCGAAAACCACACGCTTTTCTTCGTGCAAATTGGGGAACTCTGTTTTATGATTCCATTCATTACCTTTGACTTCTCAGTGCTCAAAGCTTCTTTAGTGTACGTTTCCGAACTGATCCCTTTCAAACTGTCAGCATTTGGGCTAATGGAATATAAATATTTTTCTTTGGTGTACGTAGCAGTACTGATATTTGTTAAGTTGCTGTCGTTCAAGCTAAATGCTGGTTGCCTTTCCTTTGTATATGTCCCTGAACTAATATTGTGCAAATCTTCTATGGGATTGTATTTTGAATGTAAAGAGTCTTTAGTATATGTAGCGGTGCTAATGTTGTGCAATTCTTCTTCTATACTAGATGTTGAATAAATACGTTGTCCCAGCTCACTTAAACTTGAAGCAGAGTTCAAACGATTTTCTTTAGTATAAGTAGCTGTACTAAGATTTGCTAAATATTTTGAATCACCCAGAGGACTAAAAACAAGATCCTTCACTTTCAAAGCGAGCGTATCTGAAGCAGTTCCATAATATTTATTATTTTCCAAACACATATCTATACTATCAACACTAATGTTGTGATCGTTACTACACTGTCGTTCTTTAACAGTGTAGGTTTCTCTGCGTATTTCAGAATTAAAAGATTCCAATGTAAAACTTGTATATTTGGATGGTAGAAACACATCATCCTCGTTCAAATTGCTATACACTACCTTCGGAATATTTTCTTTTTGGGCACGCACGGTACTTTTCTTAGAAATACTTGTAACATAACTTGATCCATTTACTTTTTTATTATTAATCGAACAGTGAGGAGCAGTCACTGACGAATGGCGTGTCGGTACTTTGACTGATGAACGATTTTTTGGATTTACTTGTTTCTGAAAAAAATAGCATATTACAGTGAGAATTCTGTCGTTGTACGATCAGTAAGCAATTGCTAACTTAAATAGTTATCAGGTAATCTCCCGACTTGACTTTCCGACTACTTTTAATAGTCATTGCAATTACCTTTGGTCATAGTATAACGAAGTATAACATTTAGAGAATGCCATTTAGCGCCTTTATTTTCAACCCGACGCAAAAAAGTGTAGAAGCCTTTTTGTAGATCTCATCAAGACACATCTTTTTTTGTAATTAACATTTTTTAATCGGATGCTTACTTTTAGAGAAAAATGCAAATTTAGAAAAATAAAATAAATAGTTGAACTTTTCAATTCAAAACATCTCAAAAACAAAGGAACTCACAAAAAAATTGTAATGAACTTTTTTGTAGAGTTTTTTAAGCCATTTTGGCCAGTGTATGCGAAAAAAATTTTAAAAAAATGTTTCAAGCCGTTATGGCTGTTTTAAACTTTTGGCACCCTCAACAACCATGAAGATGGTTACGGATCAAAACCAAAACCACTTTTCACCCTGCTCTACCGTGCCTCTATATACTCGAGGTGTGTAAATTTGTATTCCTGCGTAAAGACAACCTTAAACGTAACTGTGACATACACGAACATGAAACGAGAGCTACAAGTAACCTCAGGATACCGTTTGCAAGAACGAATATTAACAAAGCCAGCCCACATATAATAGGGGCAAAAATGTTCAATAAACTTCCGTCCAAAATCAAGAACGCGCAGAAACTGCATACCTTGACACGGCAACTCAAAATCTTCCTGTTGGCAAATTTATTGTATTCTGTGGAAGATTTCATCAGTTAAATGTTAAATGTCAAATGTTTGTCTTTTGTGTTTAATTGACTTGTCCTATACACTTTGTTTGTCTTACAGGATGAATATATATTTATTAAAATAGGGCAATAGAACATGCATGCTCTAAATTTCGTTGCGTTATTCAAATTCGTTTCTTGTTGTATTTTAATTCTTATATCCTCTGTTAATTTAATTTGATTTGTTTTTTGTATTAATTTGTTGTATCAATTCACACATTCGATTGCTACTAAATACATTCATGACATAAACCGTTAATTCTCCTAACTTATTATTTATTTATTATCTTTGTACAGGTCTGTAACAGAAATTGATGATGATTCTGTAAAAACGAAACGTCGAAGTAATAAAATTAACAACGCCACCTTAAAAAGCATTAAAACTTAAAAGTGGTCGTTGGTTTTACTCTAGGTCAAATACTAATTTTATTTTTAAATGATTATTATTATTATGGTCGGTGTTTCTTGTCAGAACTCAGGTCTAGCCTGGTTAACTAATCGCACGGATTAAAATCAAGTAACGATTAGTGTCTGTGTCTGGTGAAGTTATGTAGGGTCCTAAAAAAAAAGAAAAAATAAAATAAAAGTTCACACACGCACATTGGAAATCTAGGGATAGTATGTAATTCATACTTACCAACATAGCTATTGATGGCCACAATAGCCAACGCTATCAGGAAACAGGAAAACAAAACAAATAATATTATTATTATTATTATTATTAACGACAGAAAAAAATTGTAAAATGAAGAAATCCCATTTTTTCAAAATATTTCAAAAACTAAAAAACTTTCCAGGGATTTCTAGACGCTATCTTCTTTGATCTGGTAAACCATATGATATGCAGATTCTGAAACTTTAATTCGGATTTTATGGAATTCTCTCGGACCGGGTTTCACAACCTTACCCTCAAACATCACGATCATAAAAAAGCGACGCTAAATAGAAATGTTAAAAAATCCATGTTGTACAAAAAATTGCTCTTTTCCAATATCTTAAAAAACATAGACATTGTATTTGAAAAACAAATATGCGATCAGATAGATTGTAATGTCACATAAAATTATATATTTAACAAATTTTTCACATCTCGCCAAATAAAAAGGGATATATATTGAGGTAATAATAATAATAGTGATTGACGGCCAAGCCAATTTACATTTAGTAAACAACAATAGTATTATTAGGTGGCCCTATTATCTGACGAAACAGTTTGATGCATTTTATGTCTCCCAATCTCGTACAAATCTACTACCTAGAGCTCCTGTTCATTTAATGTGCTCTAGATACAACCTTATCTGCGATTTAGTTGATATCCACAATGACTCGATAAGTCACATCTTAGAATCTGCTAAGAATTTCACCGAATATCACACAAACTAAATGACATTAAATGGTTAAATATGTCTAATTTGAGAAATTATCATACAGCTTGTTTTATCCATAGAATCATTTGTAACAAAACTCCTGGGTATCTGCATGATAGAATCAAATTTAGAACTAATATTCATAATTTAAATACAAGAAGTAGAATGTTCATCTCAATCCCAATTCATAAAACAACTTTATTTAAAAGATCTTTTAGCTATTACGTCCCGAAGATATATAACTCACTCTCATCTCATATAAAATCCTCTACAATGAAAAATTTTAAAAAATATATGCGGATGTCACTGCTAGAAAAACAACATAGGTCTCTCTAAGCCCTTTTCTTTTTTTAGTTTTAATCTCATACACATAAGTGATATCGATCATTGGCTGACTAGGAACTTCGTTTAAATAAGCAAGGGTTAAGTGGAAGAACAGATGGTAGAGTTTTTAACTACCAATCTGAACTTCGCCCTTTTGAACTTAACGGTGAGCATTTCCTCTATGTCTTTTTTCTTTTTTTTTACTGCACCTGCTTTTTTGTTCACTGTTTTTTTTTCAATAAACGGATATTATTATTATTATTATTATTATTATTATTATGTATTTGTACCTCATTACATTGTTTTTGATATTTTCAAATTTTTTGTTTTTGTCAATTGTATTAAAATTAATTAGATTTAATTAACTACATACTGAATTTTTCTTAAGTACCTATTATGGTTAGCATGTTATAGCTTATGAAGCTTTGCTCTGTTATTGGTCTTATGCTGTTGGGTAAATAGATATTATTATTATTAATTGTCTGAAATGAACTGTATAACAATATTCATTGTCAGCTATTAAGACAAAGCCAACATCAGAAACAAGACTGTCAGCCACTGCACCTTTTTACTCAAAAATTTATTTCAAATTTGCTTATCAACAAAATAAAATTATGATATACAGGTACAATAGATTTTCTAAAACTAGCTTTTGAAGGTCTAGTTTAGTTCAAACATTATATTAAGTATAATAAACCCGAATAAACCCTTCATCCTTCATCAAACCGAGAGTGGGCAAACATCAAAATTGAGGGAAGGCTTACAGTAGGCTAATTTACTTTTCCGTACTTAGACCATACAATACATCAGTGCACTCATGTCTCAAAATGATTAAATTTGTGTACGAAGAATATAAAAAAATTATGTGGGTATAAAATGTAGGTACCTAAATCTATGGATATCACAAATAATATTCTTTTATAGTATACAAATGTATACTTAGGATAGCAATATGAGATAAAACCAGCATTTTAATAAGCGACTCATAATCGCAATATAATTATTATCAAAAAGCAAACACACCATCAGGCTTACCTTATTTGCAACAGATTTAAAAGTAACGGGAAGATCTTTTTTTAAACATCGGCCAAATTGGAAACTAAACGTGTGCCTCCAACTATCAACAATGTCTGGCATCCACGTAATTTCCCATAAGACAGCAGCACAGGCAGGTATATTTTGTACTTCCCACGACAGTTGCACTCGTTTTTCGCTCGGTGGCATATTCTTTATAGCAACCTTCACATCTTGGGTTGTGGGGTTTTCGATAATTAGCTGTTGAATGGATGTGGTTCCGATGAGACTATTTTCGAAAAATAACTTCGTGTTATTCGTAAACGGTGCCAATGTGAGTTTAGGGATGTCTTCGACTTTCTCCTCTTTGATGCATTTCGCTTCAAGTTTCATTTTCAGCTCACCAGCAGATATGTCAAACTAAAAAGTTCATGTTTAGTAACATTTTAAAATTGATCAGAGTTATCTATGTCGACATTTTGTAAATTTCAGCATCTAATTCTACTTTAGGGGTAGAATGTACAAGTAAAACCGTTGTACGTACCCTTGATTCCATGTTAATAATGTAGTTTTCGAGTAGTTTTAAATAAATTACAGGACGACTAATACAACACACCAATAAAAATATAACGGTTTTGCTGAATTTGAAAATTTTAATCTTTACCAACCACATGTGTGTTTACCACTTTCAACCAATAGGAAAGCTTTATTTCACATGTACACCTTAAGCCTAGTCTCCACGTCACAAAATGAACATTTCTGGTAGAAAGTTATCTTAGTAATTCACATTTTTGTTACTTTTATAATTATGGATTGCGTTTAGTAACCGGAAAATTTTAACTTTATTTCGACAAAATAAATTTTACGCACATTCTTAAGTATTTAATTCCGTAAGTACTAGGCTTTACCTGAACCTTGAGTTAGACTATAAGATGCTAAGTAAGTAATGTTGGTTGCGTATGGTTAGGCGGAAATTTTGTTGTAAAATCAAGTATACAGGGTGTCCCTAAAAAGGTCTGTACAACGCGCTACCAGAGGTTCTTGGTATCAAAATAGGACGATTTATCCCAACTTACCTCTACCCAAAAGTGCTTCGGTAAGGCGCTATCTACCGCCAAAGATTAAAAAAAAAATCGTTATTTTTATTTTATCGGAAAATGGTTTTGCCGATTAAAATGAAATTCGGGATGTGAATGTCTAATGTAAAAAGGGTCTTAGTGATATCATCGTTTTGATTGTAGTTGCTATGTAGGTGGTAAAATACTGACCATCCACATCTGAAGAGGTCTAAAACTGTTGAACTACTATTTTGACAGTTCTGAATTTTTGGACACTGAGAGACAGTTTACTTGCAAGCATTTTTTGTCTCTTGATGAATATCGCTATCTGTGATGGTTTACGAAAATAGTTATTTATGCAATGAGTGTATAAATGGGGCGTTTTATTGTTGAGTGAGATGTTTAGTCCACGAGCGCAGCGAGTGGACTAAATTCGAACGAACCAATAATCGCCGATTTATACATGAATTGCATACAACGTTTTTTCGTCGACTTCACTGGGGTAGGTAATTTTAAATTCAACTACAAGAAATTACAAACGAAATTATGAGCTCCGACGATTTTTCACTAAATTAGGTACAGCTATTGTCGTTGCTATAGTAATGTGTTGTTTTATGCTGTACCGTCAGTCCTCGTAATCGCAGTGGAAGATTATGTTGCTTGCTCTGCTGCGGAGACGATTTTAACATTATATCCACTCAAATCAAAAGAAACTTATTGGAACGGTTTCGATCAGTTCGGCAATTGATGGAATACAATGAATTTGAAAGGAGATATTTCCGAAAATGTCACGTTGACATTTTACCTTGAAAAGGTACGTGAAATTATAATGTAATTAATTCTTTTGCAACTGTACTAAAGTACGTGTATTAACAGTGAAAGATATGGAAATGTTCATCCCTGTGGTCGACGTACTCACTACTCACTGTTGAAGGTAAAGTAACTGAATACCTTAACAATACCTTATCCGAGGAGCTACACATGCATATATCAGGATATGCTTTGCTGAGATCGTTTGGCGACCATACTGGCTGCTGATCTCACTACATTGAAACCGAGATTAAAATGGTTAGGTGGATGGAAGTTCTCAGCTGTTGCTGAAAGTGAATTGTTATATAATTGTCATTTCCCTTTAATAAAATGGTTGTTATGTATAAGTGGTTGCTAACGATTAATGGTTGCTAACGTATAATGGTTGGTTGCTAACCATTAATGGTTGCTAACGATTAATAAGCTTCATCATTGTACTCGTCACTAAGGAGTAATTTATATTGTTATGGAGAGGTCGACGAAAATAGTACATTATATATCAAGGTAGAGAAGTCCACTATTATTGCCTGAGCACCAAGATTACATCTCGAGGCGCTTGCGCCGAGGGGTGTAAGGTGCGAAGGCAATAATAGACTTCTCTACCGTGGTATATATACTATTTTTTTCACTACTAGCACTTGAAGTCCTCTAAATTAACATATTATATTGATAAGAAGTGAACGGTTGGACAGAATTGTTTGTTTCTTAATTTAACATGTCAATCAAGTACGTGGAAGTACAAGTCAAACGGGCCGTATTTTGTTCTGTCATTGAGATTTTTCAAAGAGTAATTTCGTTCGAATTTTTTCAAAATGTGATAATTTTAGGTATGTAAATTCTCTGGAAATTGCGAATGGTGGCAATTATTCGTTTTAGAGAACTTGTCTAAACGTTCATTGAGCGAAATTTCGGGTTGTGTTTTCTGAAAGTGACAGCGTGACAGTTCTCATTATTAACTACTAGTTAATAATAAAAAATTATTAACCACTTTGAACAAATGCCGAGAAAGCCTACTTTACAAGTGGAAAAAAGGTTAATAATCATGTCATCAGACGCTAGTAGTGAAAAAAAAAATTTAGGCATGATGAATGGCATGCACCATACCTACATGCGATTGTTCCTCAAAAAATCAGAAGATGGCTGTGAAACCTTAGAGTGGCGTAACGTTTGTTTGTTGTTTCTTAAACTTTAACAATTTACGTTTTGCTTGAAGATTTAAAATTTCATTGTTAAAATTGTAATATGGCCTTTCAATACAGTAACGCAGAGTTATCTGATATGCTTATGTGTTTAGATACTGTCGTGGTAATGGTCGCCAATGCGTTAGAGAGTATACTCACATGCTTCTTGCTTGCACTTATGGTTTTTGAGGAACAATCGCATGTTCATCATGCGTAATTTTTTTTTTTTCGTAAACCATCACAGATAGCGATATTCATCAAGAGACAAAAAATGCTTGCAAGTAAACTGTCTCTCAGTGGCCAAAAATTCAGAACTGTCAAAATAGTAGTTCAACAGTTTTAGACCTCTTCAGATGTGGATGGTCAGTATTTTACCACCTACATAGCAACTACAATCAAAACGGTGATATCACAAAGACCCTTTTTACATTAGACATTCACATCCCGAATTTCATTTTAATCGGCAAAACCATTTTCCGATAAAATAAAAATAACGATTTTTTTTTTAAATCTTTGGCGGTAGATAGCGCCTTACCGAAGCACTTTTGGATAGAGGTAAGTTGGATTAAATCGTCCTATTTTGATACCAAGAACCCATGGTAGCGCGTTGTACAGACCTTTTAGGGACACCCTGTATATTATTACCTACCTACTTATTGCTCATTTCAATACAATAAAAACTTGTACGAATAAAATGTGCAGTTTGTTCAAAAAGAAAATTCTACACTTTAGGTTATTTAAGGGTATTTTATTCACTGACTAGAAACCTAACACCTAATTTTTACACTAAAGCCGTTAACATGAATGTTCTGGAATGCATTCTCCATTGGCGTTTCTTAGATATCCTGGAACACATCCACAACCATGTCGACAGGATGCCAGACAAAACACTGTTTCGGATTTTAGATCATCGCAAGATTGTTTGCACATTGAATGACATGTGCCGTATACTTCATTTTGTCTCGAACAACCTAGAAACAAAAATATGTTCATTGCAGGTGTATGTACGTACGCAATTAATGAAAACAACATCAGGTTGTGATGTTAGATTAACAACCAATTGGAAAATCATGCAACTTGTAAAAATTAAAGTTTGCTAGTTAGGTACCACAATAGTGTGGTTTCCAAAACCTCGGTATGAAAAACAGCGCTGTTCTTGCCCACAGCAAAGTGAGATTTCTTGAAACCAAATGCACCTGAATTTGCTAATTAGAGCAGTAATGCCCTTCCATAAACCAAACCAGAAATGATTATAACGAAACCAAATAGCGCCCAACATTGTTGGAGGCTAAGGTGCCTAATAAATTTCAAAATAACGTATAATCACAGATTAAAATACTTGTCTGTGGTATAATATAGTATAGGTACATAGTCTAGTAGTAATACCGCCGAAAGTGTAATTAATTAGTGTGGAATGTCTTTCTTTGCAGTTATCTTCTCTGGTGGCGTTATTTAACATAAGTACTACCTATATAGAGTTCTGACTCGTGACCCTGATGACGTGTGAAAGGTGCAATCATGAAAAATTGCGACTGTGTTGTCGCACATTGGTACGTGCTGTTGCTGTGCCGTCACGTTACGGACTGTTAAAAAACGTTCAACATAAAAAACAATTAATTAAAGCTATTTGCGCACGTTAACCGTCCCGTCACGTCACGTCGCCGACCGTCGCGTCGAGAAGGGGATCATGAATTAAAGGTTTTTTTTTCTGTGACGGGAAAAACGTTTGGCATTTTATCTGTGTTGACAGCTTAGACCATATACTATATGGTCTAAGGTTGACAGATAACACTTTTTATGAAATCACATTTTTCCCGGATATACCTACTCGCGTATACACATAAGTAAAGATAGATATTTAATATTTGTCACGCTACTTTCACTGCTTCTACAGCTTCTATTACCTAAGCTGAAGTCAAAGAAAATTCAGAATCAGACATTTGAGAGCTAAAATCTAATACTTTTTTCCCTCGTATAATAAATAAACTCATAAAGAGCGTTTAAAAAAGTGGCACAGCACCTCGGTGTGACCCCCCGGAGGCATTGGATTGGACCCATTTTTAATTGGCTTGTTACATGTGGTATATATGTTAACTGTGCAAAGTTTGAACCGAATAGCTTCAAGCGTTTACCAGAGGCAGAGAGGATATTCATTACAAGCTACCATATCTATCAATATCATTAATGTTTATAATTTTTAACTCAATACTATTTTCCATTAGAAATGGGTGGGGTCCGTCCATAACAACCGCCTTAATTTGGATATAAAGTGGGTTTTGGTTAAAGGAGACTTATATGCGTGATTATAGACCTGGCCCTTACAATTTCACCTGACACTGAAATATTTCACGTCCGAACCGAAAAGTTGAAAGTTTTCACTTTCAAGAAAAGCCTACATTGCGCAATGCGCATGCCCTAGGCTAAGAGAATTTCAACTTTCATAAAAACCTTCATTTTCATACAACTGGAACGGGTGCCTCGTATGGACAAAATACAACAATATAGTAAGCAAATTTTTTTTGTACCCATGCAAATCAATAATCACCATTAACATTTAGAGTTTGAGACGATAGAAATAATGAATATCTTCTATTTTTACTTAAAAAAAGGTAAGTTTTTTAAG